ATGAAGAACTCGCGTTTCGAATTGAGGATTTAAACGGGCGCCTGCCGCGCAATCGGCGACATAACTCGAGTTATATACTAATTAAAGACGCGTCCAAACACTATAATCTAGCCCGACTTTGCTCTAAGGAGCGACAAATATCGAGAAATCGACATCTGAGGAGCAGATGCTGCCGTTTACTCGAGGGCGTCCTCGTATTTCCCGCCAAAGCGCGCGCCGCGTCGCCTGGCGGCGCGCACGTGTACTATCATCCGTCACCGCGTCCAACGCTGCGATTCGCGCAATCGACTCGGTAACACCTATCGGATTTGTCCCGTTTCTTTTTCTCTCTCTCTCCCCCCGCCTCGCGACGTCCATATCGCAGCTAATGGCGCGCGGAAAACGCGCATGTTAATTATGACCACCGTAAATACCCGGCCTTTCCCCGGCAGACATGATTGATTCGCACTTAGCGGCTTCGCTACTTCGGGCCGATCTATCGCGCACGCGAATATGAAAGTGACGGGATGATCGCTCCTAATTTCTTCGATCCGAGGGCCAATTACGGGGAAACCTGCGCCTCGTTTCCGCGGAATTTGCACTCGGTTAGACCGTAGACGGAACGGCCGATCCGGGGGCTGCATTGCGGAAACGGCACTCGGCGTAAAAAAAGGCTTACGTAAGGGGTATGACGTCGCGGCCTCGGGTACCCAAGCGAGACAGGGTGGATTTATTTATACCCGGTGGCTTTTCCTTTATTTCCCGGTGGGACTTTAAAGTGTAACACCGGAGTTTATCACTTTTACACATTTTTCAAGCCTATCTCTACGACTACTCGGAGAATTTCAATGAAAATGGCCGATCATTGAGACGACTCATTTTGCGAAGACATCGACCGCTACCGGTCGACGCGTAAAAATTTAATTAAAAAAAAATCCAAGGGAGTTGAGATGTTTTGGGGTTTTTTTTTTTAACGTCTTATCACGGGAGAGTATCTTTGAATGGGTATGAAGCATCCCGGACGCGAAATAACGGGGCAATTTCTTCGTTTTTTGCGACTTCGTCTTTGACCCGAGGTGCAAGGCGACGACGCCGTTCGTTACCGCGTCGTTATCCCCCGAGTTATTATCGAGATCCTAAGGACGGAGATTACGAGTGGGATTTCGGTCGGAGTTTTTATTTATTTTTTTTCTCTCCTTTAGGGAGTTCGAGTGGCCTGTGAAATTTGGCAAGAGGCCGCTCGGTTGGGCAAGAAAGGCCCGGTTGGCCCGGGCTTGGTCCGCTTTCGGCTACTTTCTCCTCTCGGTGAAATGTGCCCCTCCAGGAGAGGACCGCGAGAGAGCGAGAGAGACGGAAGGAGAGAGATCGAGTCGTCCTTTTTGCCGAGATCCCGTTCTTCCCGTTGAGACTTTCCGCCACGGGTGGAGGCGACTTGCGCAACGAGAAGTCGTTTCGGTAAAGGCCGAATATGTCTACGGGCGGAAATTCTCGATCCCTTCCCGATCGATCGGATTTTGTCGATAATCCCATGCACGCTCCCTTTTGGATGCCAGAGATTTCTAGACCTGTGGATGGCCTCCAAGATGGATACCAATTTTTTTTTCTCTTTCCGAAAAATTAAGTTTCACGAGCATCGCGTTCTTCTTTAGGGCCTCCGCAATCTCGCGATGAAGTTTCAAATGATTCAGTGTACCCAATTTGGAGATGAGTTTTAGAAATATTTTCACTTATTGGTATGTATATATGACACTTTCATATCACCATAAGTAGCGAGAGGGCTCAGGATTATAGCGCTGCGGCCTCCTCGGCTTCCTCAGCTCGGCCTCGATAACGCCCTGAAAAAACGGGAAAAAATCCGTTTCGTTATGGAAAAGTGACCGGGGATCCGGAGAATCCGAGGATCGTTCGCATTAAGAGCGAACGAAGGTCTGGCTTCGCCGGAGGAAGTCGGCCAGTGAAAGGGGCCAGGACGATCCGGTCGAAAGCGAGAGCCTGGATTTCCTTCACAGGCCCGAATGAAAATGACGACAGAACAGGGCGATACCTTCCTTTGAGAACGTCAACCCGCCTATGGAGAGTGGTTATCAAAAATATCGGAAACTATTGGAGGTTAAGAATTAAAATCTACTTTAACCCCTTAACTAGTGCGCTCGAGTTAATTCGAGCGGCGTTGTATTTTATGCTACTATAATTTTTCACCCTCGAATATAATCGAGAATTTTATTTTTTTGCCAAGACAATGTTCTAGTGTTTTTTTTTCACATAAAAAAAAATTGATTTTTTTCAAAAAATCTGGGCGTTAAGGGGTTAAGGGGACGCTCGAGTTTCCGCCGCGAAGTCGGAACTGGTCGCGGCGATACCGAAAAGATGTACCAAAGGAATAAATCGTATCTTATTAGGTCCGTTAATACTTGTTAATTTTGCGCCTAGAGAAACGCCCAAGTTAGCGGTGGAAAAGCGACCGAAGTCGAGCGGAAGTCGTGGAGTGAAAGGGGCTGGGTACAGGATCAACAGGTTTCTGCCGACAACTCAGTTTCGCCCGCGTGGTTCGGGTATATTCCGTAAAACTAACAAAATATATCGGCAAGTGCGCATTAAGTTTCAGAGCAAGGAGTCACGTATTTAGAGCCCGGCATATCCGAGGATCTCGCGTACCGAGCGATTTTTAAGATCGATAATGTAGCCGATCGAAACCGAACGGAAGTCGCGGAGTGAAAGGTACTGGACGCGAGACTGGAAATTGATTTAAAATTTGGTATACACGGTGTTATTACGCGACCCATTTTTCCCTAAGCTAATTGACGTGATTATCGAGGTACATCGTGCATGCCTATCAAAATTAGCTCTCGTGGCAGATATCGGTGGAAATGGGTGGAAATCATTGAGCCGAGATAAGAACCCGCCGACTTCATAATTTAGTACCGATTAAAACCTGGGATTAATATTTCTGCAACCCGGTAATAACGATCGATCATACTTGGCTATCGAGCTAAGTGCGGGCCCGCGTCAGAATTTCAGGGGAAATCGACCGAAAGTCGGGAAATAAGAGGACTCGTGCCAGGATGATAAGTCCGAGTGAAAAAAATCCCTCACCTATCCAGTCGTACGGTCAATAGGTACATGGGTACCTCTACGTCACCGATCGATCATAAGTAGCTATCGAAATACGTAAATGCCCGCGACAGAAATCCGAAGGAAATCGAACGGAAGTCGCGGAGTGAAAGGGGCCGGGTCCAGGATCAACAGGTTGCCGCGGGCAGCTCGGTTTCGTGCTGTGACCTTTAGCCAGGAAACTGGCTGGTCTACGAGTCGCGTCGGCGGTGCGAGCCTCGAAACAGGAACGCGAAAGAGGGATACCGAGTGCCTTCAAAAGGTTAGGGACGATTTACACCGGCCAGACTACCGGGACTTCCATCGCGCGGGTACTTCGAGCTTAGCCGCCTCGGAAATGTCAGATCGCCCCCGAGCAAAATCGAATCTCCTTATGCCGGTTCCCTCCGCGCAATTCCTGGACACAGCGGCCATGTTGGATCCACCGTCGCCTCTGGAGCACCTCCAAAAATCGACTACGTTGTTCCTAGTGAATTCGGGGAGACAAGTTAACAGGAACATTTCGGAATTCCTGGAGTCATTTTGGAAGGAAAGGCCGACTCCTTGGCGTTCCTTCGTCCGTTCCACGACCTCCCGGCTGGTTCTTTCGCTCGTAGTGACCGGGTCGGGCGAAAAAGGAAGGCAAAAACTCGGGGCCCTCTCGTGGTTTCCGCGTTCGCGAAGTCAGGTTGGGCCCCGGGACCGGTTTCGTACCGTTTCGGTGATTCAGGGCCCTGGCCCTGCCCCGGGGCGAGAGACGAGAAACACAATGAGAGAGCTCTCCTTCGAGCCCGGTGACTTCCCGAGGTAGAAAACTCGAAAACGCGGCGAGATCCTCCCTGGAACTCCCCCCCAATTTTTCCGCGGAATGATTTACAAGGGGCATTTACCGAGGCGTGGCTTACCGATTGATATCTCCACCGAAAGTATTAATTAATATGATTACGTGAGCATACAAGGAGGTAAAGTTCCGCTCAATTGACATTCCTCTTAATTTGATATAATTCAACGGAGTAATTGGCCGGTCGCGAGTCGCGGATAAATTAAACGTCTCTGTCAGATCGGTACCGAGAGATATGTAAATACCGGGCACGTGGACTCATTGCGCGTAATTGATGCCCATTTTATTTGGGTAGGGAGCCGAGTTACCAGGTGGGTGGACGTGGCCTCGAGATGCACAGAAGGAGGTATCGCGTGTCTCGTCGCATTCAGCCTCCACTACGAGTACCCCGTTTTACTTCAAAACTGTCTTTAACACTATTACTTTTTTTAATCGTTCACGAACCGTGATCTGAAGAACGACGGTCGATAGGTCACAAAAAAAAACTGGAAACGCAATCACTTGCGTGTACAATGTTGCGGGGTTGTAATGCAAGAACCTCATAATCAGCAAATCTGCTAAACAAATTATATTACTTTTTCACCCTTTTTTTTCTACAGCTACTGTGAGCGTGATTATTAGTTATTAACTGTTCATAATACAAATTATCGCGTTACGAGGAGACTGGTAATGGTATTGAAAAATTCGTGCGATAGAGATCCGCGCATCTTCCGCGTTATCGATCACCATTCTGCCTCCCGTCACTCTACAAAAAGGCCGTTTGCAAAAAAATGTATTAAAAAAATCTAAGCCAAAATCTATAAAAAAAAAAAATAGAGCACCCTTCCTTCCACGGTTCAACCCCACCGAGCGAAGCCTGAAAATCGAGCCGCACATCCGAAGCAGGACGCGCCGTCATGAAAATACATGCGGCCACGTGCTCCCCCCACTCTCAGGGTGCGGGGGGACCGGGAGAGGGGCAGAACGCGGAAGCCCTTCTGGTCCCCGGCGGGGGGCCGGCCCCCACCGGGCGGCTGCGGGTGGTGGGGGCGTGGGGCGGGCTCGCAGTCGGTGGGTCGCCGCGGAGCGCTCTCCTCTGGAGGCCTTGGTCGGCCGCTCGGCGCAGTGCTCGCCGGGACGCCGCACGTACGAGACCCGCTTCTCCTGCGCGCCAGTGGCGCCCCCACCCCGGGCCGCCCCACCTGTTGTCCCGCCGTCTCGGCACCCGGCGGCCCCTACCCGACCCTCGAAGACGTCCCGACGTCGCCGACGCCGGCACAGTAGCGACGTGGACGCGCGTCGGACACCCTCGGTGGCAGCGCCACCCGGCGACGAGACCTGCGCACCCCCTGGCGGAGCTCCGAGCTCGCTGCCCTGACCCTTTGGGGAGAGATTTAAAATTCTAAAAGGGCCTTGCCAGCGGTAGGGTGGCTGGAGAGAGAAATTCCAAATACGTTCGGATCGCCGATAGGGGTGCACTCGACGTGGAGCGCCCTCGCCCTCAGACGTCGGCGCTGCCTGGCGGCGGATTCGCGCACTACTCGGAAGGCGGTCGAGGAGGAACTCGAGGACGCGGAGGGTCCATCGGACTCTTTCAGGGGACTCGTTGGCCGCGCGACCGCTGCCCGATTAACGGGCTATTGCGAGGGAAATATTAAATCGAGGAGAAGTGTTTTTCGTGAGGAAGAAGTGGACGTTTACGCGGCCGGGACTCTGGCGCAAACCTGGCGCCCGACTTTGCCAGGTAAACGGCTACCGATCCCCGGAATGTGGGCATTCGGACTGAGATACTCGGTTTGTTGACACTCGGAGGGTATCGAGGTGTTCCCGTGCCAACCGAACTCCAAAGTCAACTGCTAGCGGCGTCGCGGACCTCCGACGTCCACGACGTCGCCGCCCTTGATCGGAGAAGGATTCCATAAAGGTGTTCCGAAGACTCCGGGACTAATCCCGAAGCGAAGCCCTACCTGCCTCGAGGAGACGTCGCGACACGTGGAAAGTCGCTCGGAAGGGATATTCATTGGAACGCGGAAAAAGTAATCGAGAGTTGAAACTCGATACGGGACGTTTCGAGGAAACGGCGAAGTATTGTGAAGATTGTTTACAAAAATTCTACATCGAGGCTGGAGTTGACGAGGTGGATGCGGCGTCCATTTTATCACGAAGGCACGCTCGGAGGATCCAACGTCAAAAACTAAGTTTCTATTAAATTAAAACTAGACCGGATCCAAGGACTGAGATTCTTGGAACAACGGACCGGACCTGGAATTTGCGGTTCCAAGTTCCAAGCTCCTGGACGAGTCCTTGGCTTCCTGGAGGCTCGACCAGCCTTTGGCGGGTCCTCTTCGAGAGGCTTCCGCGGGGGTCGAGAGCTGGTCCCTCCAGGAGCCGTGTCCGGGGGGCCCGACTGCCCCGGGAGCCACCCCGGCTTGCCCGACTCCTGGTGAGGACGCTCGCCGGCGACTCGATAAATGCTCGCGTGATCCACCGATCCGAATGAGCTGTGCAATGGAGTACCAGCAATTGGCGCCGCCTCCGGTACCAGGAGTGCTCCACCAGGCGCATCACCCCCAGCAACAGCAACCGCCGGTGCCGCCGCATCCCCACATCGTGGTCGCACCGGCGCATCAGCAACCCCAACCACCGCCACCACCGTTACCACCGACGACACACGCCCATCAGGTGCACGCACCATTGCCACCTATCCACGACGACAGCACCAGCTCCAGATGGACCCAGTACCAGCACATCTGGAGACAACATCATGTCTACATGAACGGTATGATGCACATCAGTGAATCTTGGTGATGGACACTAGAGGAGTAGACCTACTGGGGTATAGCGACCGCTTGTTTTTCGCGCTTCACGCGTTATCGACGCAAGCTGGAGAGAAACGTATCAGACAAAAGTTGTAGATGCCAAGGGGCTCTACAAGTTTTGTTTGGATGGTTTGCCTCCAGCATCTATGATTAGTCCGGAAAACCGGGATGTTGCGGGATGATGGAAGATACGGTTTGGGGGTGTCCGTTAAATTCGTTAATTTTGGGAGGGTCATTGGATGCGTTGGGATGTTGGTTAGGTGAGGGAAGGAGGAGGGGGCTTCTTTGAGTTACAATTTTGCGATGATAACGCCGGGTGACCTCGAGAGGCATCCGGACGATGCCTCTTCGTCTCCCTCGTCCTCATCTCTAGTGATCTCAGCCGGCTGCGACCGACCCGACTGTCTGCCTCCTGAATTACCGGCCGATTATGCGAATAATTCATACGCCTTCCGCTCGCTTCCGGCGTTACCTAACAACCATGAATTACGAACGAGTTAATGACCCCATCCAACCCTTGGGGGCTCGTTAACAAAGCACCCAACATAGGGCTCCTTGGAGCTCCATGTTCTCGCTCGACTCGGGAACGGATTTTAGAAACGTCGAAACTTGATTAATAATCATTGCTAAGTCTTCGGTCTGATGTTAAATTATTTTCCTGACGATATACGCGTAGAGGAAAATTTTGAGGAAGGTCGGGGGAAACAGGAAAAGTAGACAATGTATATTGTTCCGCGACGAGGCGGATGCTGGATGAGATGAAAATCCGCAAATGGTCGCTCGTCCTAGGCGGCCTGCATTCAGCCCGTAACTATTCCCCTGCAATGGCAGAAAATGCAGTAAAAATGAAAAAGGATGCATAAAGCAAGGCTCTAACTCTTGCATTGTGTCAGCTCGTAACAACGCCGCGATGTAACCGTCAATATACAATCGGAGCTGGTCTAAGAATGACAGAATTATGCCGGGAGAAGGCTGACGAGGTTGGAAGAGAAAAAAACTTGCGGAGGAGTATAGGGACATAAAAAGAGGAAGAGCGAGGTCCCTATGCCCGAGCCGGAGGTGGAAGGGAGATGGAAGTTCGCGAGTAGTAACATCCACCTGTTGCGCTTTAGACAGACCGAGCTCGAATCGCGACCACTTGTTCGTGGGACGTCGTGCTAAATTTCTAGAACTAGGGGATAATTGGGAGAAAATATTTGTCCATACGCGGAGTAAGGTAGGAATGAAGGGGAGGGGAGGAAAAAAATACAGAAAGAAAAAGTGACACGCTGAAGGCTGTCTTAACGCGTATAAATATCAGACGGATAGGACTGGACGGTATAAGAAAGCAGCTGGAGCAATGGAGACTGAAAAAAGATGCTTATCGGCGAATATTTCAACGTAAAAAGAGAAAAAGAGGGAGACGGAGGAAACGCAATTCCCACAGAGGAGCAACTGGTGGGAGGGAGGTGGGAGATCAGGAGTTGCAGCACCCACCTGTTGCATCTGGGCCGACTTGCATTCTGACCAGTACTACTTGTTTCGGTGGTAATAATTATCAAGGAAAAATTAGAGTATTCGTTCACAGTAAAGGTGAAAATTATGGAAATGTGCTTGAGCGCTATGGAAAAAAAAAAAAAAAACAGAACGAGGGAAACTGCACTTCCCATGGCGGTGGTAAAGAGACGGAAGTGCGTAAGTAGTAACGGCCACTGGTCAGCCTGCACTCGGATTCCTTTTTTTTTCTCTTCTCATTTCTTTTTTACGGAGAAACATGACACGGAAAACAGACGTCTCGTATGCAGAGGGAGGTGCCGAAATAATTTATTACTTACTTTCGTTAATTACTGCCGATCAAGTCGACGTATTGCCTTGCCTCTGGAAGGCGCGAACGTAAAAGATGGAAGGGGATCGCTACGAGAAAAAGATTCGCGTAGACGGAAGCGAAACTCGTGGGGAAACCTGTCTCGGGACACGGAGGAAAAGGAGGACAAAAAAAAAGGACTAGTTCGGATGAAGCCATTAGTGCGAGAGAGACGGAAGTGCGCAAAGTAGTAACGCCCACTTGTTGCTCGTCGGTCAGCCCGCGTTCGTGACTACTTGTTCGTATGCAACGACACGACGCAAATGACGAGTGTACATAGATGTTATCCCGTATTATCAACCCGGTACTTTGGCGTACTCGTAGCTAACCCAAGTATTGCGGTTCAAAAAATCACCAATTCCAGGGGAATTCATAAAGTCGCCAGGGCGTCGACTCAAATCATGCCCTGTATTAAACCCCGAACATTGAAACCGAATTCAGAATTCATTTCACCCTATAAAATCAATATCTTTGACAAAGCCATCCTTCCGAAACGGTTTAAAATCAAACGGCACCGAAAACTCGTAAATCAATACAACCTCGCTTACCCTGTACGTGCACTTGGCGCGATTTTTGCCCGCGTCCGTGGATAGAAAAAAAGTCCCTAAAAGGCTGTACAATTTTTTTTCTTGTTTGTTCGTTTGATAAACGTCTCTGGAAAGGGAGCAAGGGGAGGACAAAAAATTGGGGGTCCGTAATGAAGCCATTAACGCGTAAGAGACGGAAGGGCGCGAAGTAGTAACGCCCACTTGTTGCGCGGCGGTCAGACTGCATTCGGGCCGTGACTAACTCGTCTCTATGCAGCGACACGAGGAGAACGACAGGTGTCGTGCGTGGAGGTGTAACCTGGGATTTTTTTCCCCCCTCTGCCTCTTCGCACCTAGAATTCCCCTGCCAGTTCGCGCGTCCACGTGACGAATCGCCGTCCCCTCCCGTGTTTTTTTTTCTTCTTTCCTTTTTGCCATTTTTCCTCTTTCCTTTTTCGAGCGACCGAGAGCGAGTCTCGCGCCGGAACCGCCGCCGCGGAAAAACGTCTCGACATAGCGGAATGCGTACACCTCGGTGAATCATTGCGCATTACTATGCCTCGTCCAAACTGGACATAGATACGTGTCCCGGTCGCGCATTTGCATCGTTACGAGGCTGCTCGCAATTTCCCGCGCCAAGAGGTTGCGAACCTCCTTTCGAGGTTGTTCCTCGCTATCGCGAGCCGTTTGGTATATTTATCGCGAATTCCGAAATTCTATTCCTGACACTTAGAGAGCGCGAACGGGGAGATCGAAGTGCCCGCCAGCTCCGGAAATTCCCCCGAAGAGAGAGAGAATCGCGACTTAGAGGCGGATCGGCTATTTCGGGGAGATAGACGATGGGGCTCCTCGGGTCATCTTGCTTCTGCTTGGTCCTTCCCCTTCTCTTTTTCTCTCTCTATTTCTCTCCACCTCCTAATATTTACCTCCTCCGATTTACAAGGTCGTCGGTAAATCAACGGAAGAGTGTCGCGGCTAGCTGTGACTGCAAATAAAAGTCAGGAAGCGCGCAATATGCCTAGGCTTTAAAACTAGCTGGCAGACGTTCCTCAGACACGGATGGGCGATGGCGGAGATATCTCGTCTTTTTTCCCCCTATTTTTTTCTTTTTCTTTTTCTTTTTTTTTTCATTCTCAGCTTGCCTTTTTTTCCTCTTGTCGGAGTCCTTGTCCCGACGCCGACGTGAGATCTTCTGTCAACGTCGATTTCCTCCGACCACTTGTTGACAGTCGGTCAGCTGTTAAATGAACTTTCTCGCCCCGATCGATTGTATCGCCGAAAGCGTTACGAGACCGGTCAAAGAATTGATCTCCTGGACGAAAATCAGTGGACGAATTTTTTTTTCCCCCCCGTTGTGATTTCACCACTTGGAACCCAGAATTTTGGCAGAGGGATCTTTCCGGTCACGGTCGCAGATGAACGGTCGAACTCGAGAATACTCGCCGGTCACGTCGATTGCGTTAAGTCGACGTTAAGACTCGAGATGCATTATTCATGGTTACGGTCGCTGTGTTCGACGTCACATTTTCCACGGTGATAATTGTGGGGGAGGCGGGCGGTGGGAGAGAGAAAAAAAAAATTCATCCTTTTCCGGGACTTATTCAGGCCCGATAACGATCGATCGGGAGACGCGCTTCCAGCATTAGCTCGGTTCGTCTAATGTTCATTGTTCCCTAGATGAAGTCACTTAACTCCTTTAGCCCCTGCGCCTTCGCGGAGGCACACGTCCTCGGGTTTTCATGTGTACGTGAATTAACTCTTCAACGGGCCCGCCATCTTGCCCACGTCCACAATGTCGGGGCCGGTCGATCCTCCTCTTGCGACGTTAAAAAAAATAATCCCTCCCCGAGTGGCATTTACCGCCAATTAAGCCGCAAATAGGCCGCGATTCCAAAATCCGGAAAATCCCCGGCCAATTAACGAGTTCTCATTATGCCGGGAGGAAATGGAGCCTCCTCGAGAAATCTCAACGACACGTTTATTTCCACTTAATCGGTTATCACATTCGCGATATTTGCGATAGCTCCCTACCTGGAGTTTAACGGTCGTCGATGCCGTTGAAATATCACTGAAATATCCCGCGGAAAGAAAAAAAAAAGATCCAGCCTCTAAAGTCATCGAACTCGATCGATCAAGTCGAACGGCGATCTCGCGGGTGGTCGATTAGAATTCCGATCGGTCATGCCGAACCGACCTACATGTGCCGGTTATCGTGGCCGACCTTGAGGAGTAAACCGACCTTTGGTCGACACGACTAGTCAAGAAGAAATGTAGGTCTCGAAGAAGTGCCACGATAATTAGCAAAGATAGCGCGCTTCTTCCCGCGAGTCGCGCGATTAGAGCGAGCGACGTTGACGGTGACGCCATTATGGCGACATTTTTTTTCTTTTTTTCCCACTAGTGAATTCGTCATCATTCATCAACCTAAGAAGGGATTGAATGATATCCCAGTTGAAGATTTTCAAACTTCCATCTAAAGGACATCAGAATTTTAAGGGGAGATATGTTGAATTATTTTTTTTTCCGCGTCGTGGCGGCTTAACTGGAGAAAATCGTAGGGAAATTAGCGGAAATTAAGACAATGTGGGAA